TAACAGAATTTGAACAGTAAATTTTTAACAATATTTAACAGAAAAAATAACAAAAATAATAATAAAAAACCAGAGAAATTTTGCCTTTTCGTTTGCGTTGAGTTGTTGTTGTGAAATTGAATTGGTATTTTGAGTTTCCTGAGTCCCGATTCTCAAAAAATATACACACAAAGTTAATAATCAATACATTTAATAAAAATTTTCGACACAAATACCCGTAGTAAGTTCTCTTATGTGAACGAATATTTATAGAAGAGAATGTACGTATACCGTAAGAGTTATAACTTCTATAATAACCTGAGTTAATGTATATTTATTTTAAAGTTATTTTCAACAACAATTGAGTCTTTGGGCTTTCTTTGTTACCCCATATTATCTCTACTGTGTCTTGTAAATGGAATTCTAATCCTCATTGAAAAAAATATCCGAATTTTTATTAGTTTATAAATTTTACAACCGTATATTGTTATTGTTTAGAGCTCAGAAAACTGCTGAAGAAGACATTAATATAAGAGAAAAAGAACAACAACCAGACACGCTCCTCTGTGCGTTTTCCCATATAATAGTGAATTGACACTAAACCATGGGAAACCACCCGAGAGCCCGTCCGAGCTAATTTGCAGAGGCTGAGAAAAAGAACAATAGTTCTGGAATGAACCTCAACGAACGGTATAGTAAATTCTTTGAAAGTTTGTTGTTATTGGAACCTAACGCTCACAAAATTTCTTACAAAAAACATATACCTAAAAACCCTTGGATAACTAAAGGTATAATTTGTTCAATAAAATTTCGTAATAAACTCTTTAGAAAAAAAAATAAGTCTAATGAATTTTTGAACAGATATTTAGTATATAAATCTAAGATTAAACATTGTATAAAAATACTCAGAGAAAGTTATTTTCAAAACCAAATTAAGTCTTTTTCCGATACTAAGGAAAAATGGGAACTCCAAAAAAGGTACCTAAAAATTAATGAAAAAAAACATAGCACCGGATACTAATTGTAACGTATTAAACGACCACTTTATAAACGTGGGTAAAAATCTTGCCTCCAAAATTCCCTCTGCAAATATTAAAACGAAAACTAATTGCTTTGTTAACTCTATTTATTTTGAGCCAATAACACCTGTTGAAATTATAAATAATGTTAATTCTCTCAGAAATT